ACACACACACACACACACACACACACACACACACACACACAAATTAGCCGAGTGTGGTGGCACCTGTAGTCACAGCTACTTGGAAAGCTGAGGCAGGAGGATCACTGGAGCCCAGGAGCTAGAGGGTACAAAGAGATATAACCACACCACCACTCTCCAACCTGGCTAACAGAGCAAGACCCTGTCTCTAAAAAAACACATGAACTGGGTAGTCGGGTTAGGGCAATTCTTTAAAACAAAAGGCAGGCTATGTTGCTTTTCTACTCAGAACCCTCCAGGGGTTCCCCTCCTCATTTAGAGTAAAAGGAAGTCCTTATAGAGGTGGCCAAGCCCCACAAAGATGGCACAGACCCCCCTTCCGTCTCTGACCTCATCTCTCGCTTTCCAGCTTATTCATTGCCCTGTTCCCAGCTTCAGGCTCCTCTTTGAATACCCCAGGCCTGTTCCCCGCTTAGAATCTGCTCTTCAACTCTCTCTGCCTGGACACTCTTTTCTCCCCAGGTCATTGCTCAGTTCCCTCACTCACCTCCTTCAAGTCTTTGTTCACAAGGTGCCTTTTCAGAAGTGCCCTTCTCTGACTGCCCTACCTGAATCCACAAACGACAACCCCAACCTTTCCTCCAGCATGGCCAAACTCTTCCCGTCTTTATTTGTCTCTGTGGCTTTTCGCTATGTCTACATGTCTACAGAGCCTGCACAGTCCAGCCTACAAACTTCTAGACAGCCATGCACTGTGACATAATACATGCTTTACTTATTATTTTACTTATATATTATATACTCTATTCCTTACTTAATTGCTTATTGTCTCTTTATTTTGGCAATTTTGCATGTGTGTGTGTGTGTGTGTGTGTATGTTGCCATGTCTTCTGGCCGAGGCATAAAATAGTTTCTACCATATAGTAGGTTTACAACTAAAATTGTTTAAATAAAGTAATTTTATTTGATCACTCGTGTTAGCATATTTGTGAAATTTGTGGAAGTTGGCCATCTGGTATGAAATGCAATAATTCTCTGCTTTAGAACCTGTGAAATTCCTAACTGCACAGAGCCTGGGGAGTTCTTGAAATTTAGTTTGGGCTCCCACGCAAATCAGGCATTTCTGAAAGATAGCCCTCTAACTTCCAAGACAGTCATACTCAGGTGAAACAGGAGCCTGACTCCAAAATCCTTGCTAGTAATAGGAGTTTCAGGTATAACTTTATGATGGGTTTCTCAGACAGCAGTCAGCCCAAGGGTTTCACACAGCCAACAATCAAGAAGTATTCTCAGTCAGCCTGTCTAGACACCGTTTTCTGGACCTAATGTGTTGCGTTTGTTATAACAACTAACAAGAGGTGTCAGGCTCTCTCTTTTTCCCATGTTATCCACCACCCATGACTGCTTCCTTCTCTCTGGCCTGTCCACCAGGCCTGGACAACTAGAAGACATGCATCCCTAGACTTCCACAATCCAGGTGAAAGAAGGTAGACCTCTATCAGAAATCCAGTTCTTTTCTTCTTCTGCATCTTTTTTTTTTTTTTTTTTTTTTTTTTTTTTTTTTTTTT